CCGCTGCTCCCACTAGCTGCCCTGCCACGGCGCTGCAGGACCGGCGCTTGGCGGAGGAAACTTGCGTCGCCGTCAAGATTCAGTCCCTGAGTTGGGGGTGTGGGTTGGGGGGCGCGGGAAATGGAGGTGCGGGGTACAGGGGTGCGGGGAAGGGGGTGTAAATTTTGAAGAAAAAAAAAATTTTAAGGGTAATTTAGATATTTTATGTATATTTTTTTATAAAAGGGGTGTGTTTATACAAGAGTGGAGGTGTGTTTATCATCTGCCGACGTTATTTAAGGCTCAATTGCTAATATTAGTAGACTCTTACGAGTCTACGAGTCGAGTCTACGAGAGCTCCACGAGTTTATGTAGACTCTCGAGTTTGACAACCTTGCTCGTACCCACCTGTTCTATTCTAATAGTAATACTATACTTCCTTGTTTAAATGACAACATCCAAAAATTTGAGTTGTTGTATTGTGGATTTATATCCAATTTGTTATTGATTTAGTAAGCCCAAAAAAACCACTCTATGTTGTCAGTTTGGTAGGATCAAATCACATAAATTATTCACCTTGTGTTGTAGGAAATCTCCTAATTGAAATGCATGATGATACATATAGTTGCTGTGTTAAGCATATGATATGTTGAACTGATTGTGTTGTTTATATGTTGTGTTGAACTGTGATGAAATGTGTTGTTGGATTGAATTTAAAGTTGTTGTGTTGTATGATGAGATATTTTGTTGTTGTATGGTTAAAGATGAGATGATGATGTAACGGTGTTTGTGTTGTATTTAGGTTGTTTCTTTTACTCTAGCTTATCGTTGCATGTACATGTGGTTTGAACTGCGATGATCATATGTGATATGAGAGTAGAGTGAGGATATGATTGAAGTGTTGCTATAGAGGCCACTTTGAAGTGCATGAGCAGGAGGATATTTTGTTGACTATTGGTGGTGGTAGATTTGTATAAATAATTGTAGTTGATTGATTGAAAACTTAGGATATATAGTTTACATTTACTAGAATACTATATTTATATTGCACCTATTTATTAGTTAATTTTCTTTATATGCATACAAAATAATACATGTTCTAGTATTTATATGTCTATAATCTTAAGTGAGATGTTTTTTACTGTTAGTAATTGTGTCGTACAGTATAGGAACTAAACTGAATCACTACATTTTAATTTTAATATAGTATTATTAACTAGCAAAAAAAGGCACTTTGTGCCTAAATTGTATTAAAAAAATTATGAAAAATTATTTATGAGTAATTTAAATAATAAATGTGTAATTACTTATAAGTAGTTTCATAATACAATGAATAAAAAAAAATATTAATGCAAGAAAAGGTAGTTATAAAAAACTATACAAAAGTTAAATTATACTTTTCGTCCTTTATTTTATTTGTTATATTCATTTTAATTATTTATATTTTAAAACATTTATTTTGATCTTTTATTTTTTATATTAGATTAATTTGATTATTTTAAAATAATAATTTTTAATTTTGTGATATAAATTTTAATTAAGTTTTCATTGATCGAAGACGTAAAACTTTTAACCATAGATTCAATTATATGAAAGTTGTAACATTCAATTAACGTTTGAATTCATAAGATTATAAACATAATAAAAATCATGTTAAAAATATATCTCATAAATAATTAATAAATAATATAAAATTATAATTTTTTTTGAATTTTTAATTATTTTTTAGACCTATTTTTATGCAATAATAATTTTTATTTAAATTTTAGTTGTATTGAATCATTATCATATAAATGAATCTAATGAGAAAAATTTTAAATATTGAATTAATAAAAAAAATATCTAGAATCATATCTTAAAATTAAAAATAATTATTATCTTAAAATGGCTAAATTAATTTAAATTTAATAGATAAATGATCAAATAAATATTTTAAAATATAAAAGATCAAAACGAATCTAACAAATAAAATAAATGAATAAAAATATAATTTATCTTATAAAAAATAAACAAAATTAAAATTAATTATAATAAAATGAAAAATAAAAGTAGTTATTAGAACTAATATTCTTTTATATAAATTAGACACTTCAGATTTCAATTAAACATAAAATAAAATAATAAAAGTATATAAATTTATTTGGTATGTGATTTCATTTACCCATTGATTTTTCTGATTGGTGATAGAACGGGTTCGCAGGAAATGAAACCTATCATGATTATCATCAATCATCGTTGACTGCTCCAAAATGAGTGAGGTAATTTTGAATCTAAAAGCTGAATCTATGATGTCTGATGAAGGTAGGTATTTAGGGCTTCATACTTCTTACTTGTCCTCATCTGTGAATTAGCATCAACCTAATCATTATATATAGTCTTAGGTTTTTGATAACTCAATTTTGTAAGATGAGGTCTTTTAACTGTAAGCACGAGGCATTATCTTTGGCCAATGTGGATTTTGTTTGCAATTGGGTTTTTAATAGGTGTTAGTGTTACACTCCCCAATGTGTAGGAATCATTGCAGGCAAAAGATATCACTGGTTGTGGTCTTTGTTGAATGTACCTATGAAATGGGCTATCAACATGGTGGAGTTGATACTGCTCACACAAAGGTCTTTCTAACATCACTCTCAGCTATGGTGGCTGAGACCATAACTTTCCCCATAGACTTGATCAAGACCAGGCTCCAACTCCACGGCGAGTCACTTTCCTCGAGTCGTCCCACTAGTGCATTTCGAGTAGGCATGGGCATTGTTAGTGAACAAGGTGCTCTTGGCCTTTACAGGGGCTTGTCTCCAGCAATTATCAGACACCTATTCTACACGCCTATTCGAATTGTTGGGTATGAGCACCTGAGAAGTGTGATTTTTGTGGATAATGCTTCGATCTCTATCGTTGGCAAGGCAATTGTCGGTGGAATCTCTGGTGTGGTGGCCCAGGTGAGAACAACATCTGCCAGATTTTATAAACATAGTAAAGCATATTTGGTCATTAAATCAGTTCTCCGCTTTTGCATAATTGGTTGATTTGCTATAACATGCTTTGCTGTTTTGACTAATGTTTATATTAATTACTAGATGGGTTAGCCTAAAAGGAAAGTAGACTGTAGTATTCATTTCCATCCTATACTTAACATTTGAATTATCTCGATCCTGGTCTGAGTGATTCTATCTATACGAGGGCCCTTTTACGTGTTTCTGCTTTCTGGTTTTTGTTGTATGTGTTACTAAGCTTTAAGCTTGTCACTAGTACCATAGCCACCAGCAAACCAAAGAACTTAGGCAACTAACAACCTTTTAGAAAGGTGTAGGGGTTCACATATTGGACTAATAGAGATACTTTAAAAAAAATTCCACTCTCTCATGGTGGAGAGATAGAAGTACAAGAATAGGATGACGATTTCATTGGTTAGGTGTAGAAGTATCCATTAGATATAAAAGGTAAACAAAGGTCAACTAAAAACAAAGAGTAATCTGCTTAGCACTATGATAAAATGCAATTTTACAATGATATAAATTTCAATGAACAGTAAAATGGGAAAGTTTTTGGGAATAATCCTTGTTGTATCCGTAAGGTTTAATTAACTGCTCTCTTTAATGATATTCTTCTTTCAAAATTACAATGTTCTAGTGTTTGCTGTTATTTGTACAGGTTATAGCCAGCCCAGCTGATCTTGTGAAGGTGAGGATGCAAGCTGATGGCCAAAGGGTGAGCCAAGGTCTTCAACCTCGGTATTTGGGGCCATTTGATGCTTTGAACAAAATTGTTCAAGCTGAAGGATTTCAAGGACTGTGGAAGGGTGTTTTTCCCAATATCCAAAGAGCCTTCTTAGTAAACATGGGAGAATTAGCTTGTTATGATCATGCTAAACAATTTGTTATTAGAAGTAGGATAGCTGAGGATAATATTTATGCCCACACATTAGCTTCCATCATGTCGGGTCTAGCGGCAACTTCATTAAGTTGTCCAGCTGATGTTGTGAAGACTAGAATGATGAACCAGGCAGCCAAAAAGGAAGGGACAGTCTTATATAATAGCTCTTGTGATTGTTTGGTAAAGACAGTTAAAGTTGAGGGAATAAGAGCCCTGTGGAAAGGATTCTTCCCCACATGGGCAAGGCTTGGCCCCTGGCAATTTGTGTTCTGGGTTTCCTATGAGAAGTTCAGGAAATTTGCAGGGCTATCTTCTTTCTAATATAATATTTTGATTCATAGTGGCATTCATTCATCCATAATAAATTCACAAGTCACAGCCTACAGGGACTAACACCCAGATTTTTACATTTTTTAAACTTTTAGCCTACTGTTTATTTCTGTTTTTTGGGGATAATTTACATTCCTTTTTTCATGAGAGATGATTAAATTATACTACTTATGTGTTATACTGCAGTTTTTTTTTTTTTTTTGTATAGATCACTGTTCCCAAGTATCCTCCACCAGAGATAATTCTGTAATGCAACTTATTTGAATGTGAACTAGTCTTGTACCGTGCACGTTACAGAGTATGGAAATGAAAGGGTAGCTTACGAATTTTTGGAAACGTTGATGGAAAATTATTACGTCTGAATCTTGGAGATGGAGAAAAACAGAGAGGAAAAAGGCAATGGGTAAATTATGAAATCTTAGTCCCAATTTTTATTGCAAAAGAAAATTTAAGTTATGATAAATTTAGCCGTGGAGAGATGAAAAGTTATGATTGCAAAATAAATCTTGGTCTCCATTTCGAAGGTATCATGCCTTAAACTTTGAAGGGATTGTATTCAATTTTCACCAAGTTTTTTGAACAAAACATTTAACAATGTTAAATTGCTAATATAGTATCTCCTAATCATCACAAGAAATTAATTAACCAAACAAGTCTCATACATTCTTTTAAGATAGAGGCTTAGTCCATATTTAGGCCAAAATTTTAATAGAGTTTAACTGGCATGTATTTATTTTTATTTTTTATTTTTAAATCATGCTTAATATAATTTTTAAGATAATGATTATAAAAGTCAATAAATTTATCTTACGTAATTTATTATTGACTACATATAGCATTTGTTCATTATATCGATTACAAGCAAGTGACCTTTATTTCAATGAAGTGGTTACAATTACAATTGGGCTCAATCTATTATGCCAATTAATTTATAAAAAAAAAACTTTTGTTATATTTTGGAATCAAACACGTGGTGGAGCAAGCATAGATCTCGTATTAAACTTTTACTTCAAAATTGAGTCATACTACGAGATGCTTGTGCAAGTTGATGGTTTTACTTGCTATAATTCAATTCAATTTGTACATGGATCGTGGATATATAAGATCTTATTTAGATAATATAATCTAACAAACAACTCTCTTTAACTAATGAACCTATAAAATCTGTTAGGATCCCAATTAGGAAAAATTCATCAACAATTCATTTACATGTGTCAAAAGGGATATTATACTTGACCATGTACTGTGCTTAATCCAAAGCCCAAACCTGCAGCAAGAATACATGAATGAGATAGGTTAGTGGGAAAGAAACTACTTAGACTTATGATATCATGACAGTTCTCATGATCATGGCCTAACCTGGATCTTTCCATCAGAGGAACCAACAAAAAGCATCATGCCATCTGCATCTGATACTAATGATGTGATCTTTGTGTGACCACCAGCCATTTTGATTGAAGCAACCCGGGTGAACTTATCTTTTAGCCAAACCTCAATGGTGCCAAATTTTGTGCCAGCAAATATGAAGTCACTGTTGATGGCTATGCGATGGATGTCAAGTCCAGTTGAGAGTGATCCCACCACCATTTTGGTGGAAAGTGAAAATATCTTGCATCAATTGAAGGAAAAGTCAGTTCAGCAAGCAAGGATGCATATCTATAATGAATGTTAATAACTTTTGGTTTAGAACTAGAATTGGCATTTACCTTTCCTGCAGTTGCATCAACACAAGAACCACAAGCAAAGAGGAAACCATCATGAATTTGAAGGGAGCGTATGGTTTGTTTTCCCAACAACTTTCTTGTACCAGAGAAGAATGAGTTTGATGTAAATTTGGACAAGTCAACCTCCTGCCATTATTCACCCCCATAATTTTTAAGACGGACAATAATTCTAGAATTTTTTTGGCATGTGTAGCCAGAATGACAAGCTTTATAGATGGATAGAACTTGCTGTGTCTAGAAAATTTGAAGCCTAAGGCAATTTTTTTAAGACAAATTTATAAGTTATTAACTTTTATATTAATTTTCTAGTTTTTTGAGTTATTAAATCATTCATTTTATAATAAAGTAATTCTAACATTTTATTCTCAATAAATAAGATGACTAATGCATTCAATCTATCTTATAGCATTGTTAATCTTAGCAATTTATTCTCTCTAAAATTGATTGAGAAATTTTAATCATGAAAAGCTTTTCTCAATGATGATAATTGTTAAAGGTATTGTTAATTATATTTTTGTATTTTTATAAGCAATACATGTATTTGAATTTTTTTTTATATAGTGTAATACTTCTATTGAAATGTTAATTTCTTATTTTAATGCTTCTCTCAATACTTTTAATTTTGAAAATAAATAAGGACTATCAATATCAAAATGTTCATCAATTGTTGGAAAAATTTCAATATTAATACAATATTTTTTAATTCATCTTCAATCAATGATTTAAATATTTTAGATTCAAATAAACAAATAATTTTTATCCACAAAAATTATAACAACAACAGATTCAAACTTAAGACTATGTACATAAAAAAAAATTCATGTTATAAATGATATAAAAGAATATACAAATAATAGAAAATGAGATAGTTGATAGAATTTGAGATAAAAATATTATATTTGCAAGATATATATACAGAGAGAATAAATTTATATTTGTTATTTTTTATTTTCTCAATATTTAATAAGTGGTGCAATGTTTTAAAATTTAATGTTACAATTCATATACCAAATACTAACACTTAAAAAACAGTAATAATTCAACGAAAAAGGAAAGAAAAAATAGAAATGTTACAAAAAAAGAAATTAACCAATAGAATGATCATATACACAAAAACTGAATTGATGGATGGTTAGGATCTCGAGGATTTTGACTCTTCTAGTTGATATATAATTATAAAAGTAAAAATTAACAAGCAATTATTAACCAAGATTCTAAAGGTATCATACAATATACATTCATAAAATCTGTTACACGGCCTGGAAAGAACATATGGATCTCAATGCTTAAGCATTCTTTGTTTTTGTTGGTTGGTTTTTTTCAGGTAAAGACACTACAAGAATATGAAGCAATGTAGAAAGATGTTTACCTGGATGCTGTAACCAGAGCAGCCACAATACAGTTTGTCCCCAGCAACAGCAAGGCATTTCACATATTTGTTGAAATTGATGAGCTTTGGAGCTTCTGACCAATTAAAAACCTGAAACATCTCAAATTTTATTAATTTTATCTCATGATCGAGCTACATTTCTATTTGAACTGTTCAAGCAACATATTATATTAGGCTTGCCTTAACACCAGTTCCTTGAGATACATAGCATGCCAATTTAGCATTGGCTGTCAGCTCATACACTGGATCCTTAACGTCATGGACATCTATACATTTAATCTCATCTGGTTTGATTTTCCAAACCTGTAGATAAGTATTATTAAGTAGTGCATATCCAATACTACAAATCTACAATTAAGCTAGAGGATCAATTTTTCATGTGACTTAGCAAGATAGGTTACCCGGATGGTTTTGTCTAAGGAGCCACTGTATAGCCTATCATCTGAAGAACAGAGAGATGTTACAGCTTTTGTGTGCTCATGAATTTCTTGAATCACTCTCGGTATTCTCTTTCTTGCATCCCATACCTAGTAGGAAGATACCAAGTGGTACTGTCAAGACAAACAGTGAAACATACGCACACAACCACACTGTTTCTATTTGTTAGGACACTTTACCTTGATAGATCCATCAGAGTGACCACTCAAGACTTGACCATTCATATAAAGCAAAGAAAGCACCTCTCCATTTGCGCTCAAATCTAGCTCAACAACTTCTTTACAACTCCACAACTCTGTCTATAAAATAGAAAATTAAAATGGTTACTTTTCTGAACAGATATATCATATGAAATGAACCATATCTTAAATTACCATTCTACTCAGTACTCACCACGTCAACAGAATTTAAGTTCAGTAAGGCTTTCATAATATCAACTGCTACAACTGAATATTTCTTCAGCTTCCTCATGGTTCTATAGATGCTTTTAGCATAAGCTCTCAGTGCTTCGAGAGCAACTGAAACATTGACATTTTCCAATTTAGTATTCTTTTGTATACAACACAGATAATGTCTTTTTATTTTTGGTAAATAGATAATCTCTACAACTATTATAAATAAACCTACTTGGATCACTGATGAAAGTTTTCAAAGCTAGGGTAGCCAGGATCTTTTCCTCCAAGTTCTTGGATGAGTGCAGAACATTTATAAGTTCATCAAGCAAGGATTTGCGAGCAACATCCTTTATGCCGGTATCAGGAAGAGTAGAGAGCATGTGTGTGAGCCATGTGACAAGAACAAGGCAAGATTTTGCCATATTTAAGGAATTACTCCTTAGGCATTCTTCCAAAGCTTGAAATATTGAACCATTTTCATGGTTGCAGAGTACAAAAGCTACCCTTTTCTGCCAAGAGTTCATAGCAATTTTTTCATCCTCCTACATAAACATTTGTGTTAGTATGGAGAGAAATGAAGTATCAACCAAACCCAAACATCAATCAAAATCCTATATAGCCCCAAACCATTGTTTCCATTGAATCATCGTCATACTGTCCCAACTGCTCGGCTTTAATTAAAGCATTGTAAGGTTGATCAAACCCTGCAATCTTGAGCAACCAAGCTTCAGTATATGACTTTCCCGAGGAAGTTATATGTCCAATAAGAAATAGTAAAGCGTCCAAAGCCTTCATTTGAGTATTTGAGAAATCCTTTTGCCAGAGTGCTTCTATTAGTGTCTCTACAGCTTCTTCCCTGTAAATGCTCATCTTTCGTGGCTCAACCTGAAGATTTAACAAGAACAACAACATAGTAAGGAAACATGAGAACATAAATTACATCTTAGTAACAAGAAATCGATTGTAAAAGGCTAACCAGAAGATCAATCTGAAGAAGAAGACTGGCAACAGCAAGTTGATGCTCCATTGGAGCCATCTGAAGATATACAAGAAATGTATGCATCGTACTAAATGCTCCTTCATCCTTGATTGTCTGTAAAATCTGGTTGCAGACTGTCCTTCTGTAGCGCCATAAAAAAAAATAGTAAATACTAGAATTGGTGATGGAAGGGGAATAGCACCGTCCAACAATACATTCTGTCACAAAACATGCCATTACAGTTTAATATAA